AGCGCACACACCCCTGGTTTTTTACGTGTTGGATTACCCCATCAAGATTCACGTACGCCGTCACCGCCCCTGGTGGGTACATCAGATCAAGGATCTATGGTGCAAGTTCCAGGGAGAAATCTCGAAAGGAATTGCCACCGAGATGGGGTGCTCCCCGCCCCCGCGGAGGGCGCCGCCGATGATGCCGCCGGAGGCGGCGGTGGCGGCGGCGGTAAAGACCATCTGGTCGGCAACCGCCAGGCCAGAAAGGGGGAGCCGGCGACAAGAGAACCACCACCGCCGCAACCCTTGTGTCCGGCGGCAAGAGGCGGATCCGCTCCGCGGCGGCCGGCGGCCGCCGCGGCGGCTAGCTCGGAGAGAGGAGGGTGGGCAGCAGGAGAACGGGATCAGTGCGGTGGGAAATTGGGTTATGTTGTTCCCGGAGCCGCCGCCGCCGCCGCCGCTGCTGCTCCCCCCCCTGTTGCCGACGAAGCCGGTGCCGGTGAGAGCGACAGCGAGGGCGCTTTAGCTGCTGCTGCTAGCAGTAGTAGTAGTAGTAGTAGCGGCGCGGACGCGGCTGCCGGCGCTGATGCAGCCGCTGGCGGGGTCAACGGGCCGGCAGCGAACGGGGATAAGAGTAGGGGGGGTACCGCGTGCTCGAAGAAAGGAGCCACCACCGCTGCCGCAGATGTCACACAGGTGGATAACGGCAAGGAAACGAGGTTTGCGAATGGTGTGTGCATGTGCCAGAATAGAGCTTTTTCCGGAGGGGCAGTTGAGAGCAGCGATCGCGTGGTGACAGGGGCGGACAGCAACGGCGTGGCGGCGGCGGCGGCGGCGGCGGCGGAGGAGGCGGAGGAGGCGGAGGAGGAGGCGTTACAGTCGCTGCCGCCTCTGCGCGGACTGAACGTACGGCGGCTCGTGAAGGGCAGGGGTGGGAGGAGCGACAAGAACGTGTGCAAGGCGATCGAAAGGTGAGGGTCGAATGCATCGCCGGACGCAAGGCTCTCACAGCAGTTATTGTCAGTGGAATTGATGCTGACAACCATGTCTTCTATGTTTGGCCTAACGCGTTTAATTGGCACGGGAATCATCACGGTGTGTCCGGGTCGACCGCAGCGGCACAATATCAAGCGGTGTTGCCGTGGCAGCATCGATCTGTGCTCCGCGTGTGCCCTCTCTTGGTTGTATAGACTGCTGGTGCGTTATGCATGTACTGTAGTACTGGAAGTGCAGATTGTCTGGTGTGTCTAACGTGGTTGATTGTCACCAAGAATAGGCGGGACGACAACACTTGCAAAGCTCTGCGCTCTGATCTTGTCAGATCGCTGTCACGACTCCTTTCGCTCGGCGGCAATATGCCTCAGATTGGATCCGACATGTCGTCCTTGTTGCCCATGTGTACCAAAAGGGGCACTCAGCCGTACAGAAGTGCTTGCTCAAGGCCACTCAATTTCGCATGGTAGCAGTTCTAGTCGTTTCCCATGATTCCGCAATGCTGTGTGTATTGAGGGAGGTTATCCTCAAGCTTTGACATTTCATGCTTCTGCTGTGTAGCGTTACCCATTGTACACTATTTAAACACGTGATGGTCGGTGTTGACAGCTGACCTGCTATCCTGGACGTTGATTGCTTGTCTCTCAAGGTTATTTTACCCGCCTGTTTTCTACGAACTTGGTGAAAACCTTCCCTCCATTCTCTGTTATTCCGTTCCTCTGCGTGCCCCCCCACCCACCCACCCACCCCCGCCTTCCTTCCTTTCTTCACTCCTCCCTCGGCCCTCCCGTGCTGAAACTCGTTCTCGTCATGACCACCAACACGCGCACACTGCTTCCAGGTACACCTACGTAACCCTATCGAAACCTAAAAGCACGCCTCGAACAAGATAGCGGAGCAAGCTAACAGAAATAGAGATCCGGCTTGATCGCACCGCGGCATGAAGGATGGGGGTTTTGATCCCTCCTGGCATATTGCAGTGCAATGACGAGCGGGGAGCGGTTCGGCCGCAAGCGCTGCGAGGAGGCACACGAGGCTTTTTGTCTTTGTCGGTTCGGACTTTCGTCGGTTTCGCCCCCCCGTGTGAGGAATATCGTGCGCATCGGTGGCGACTCGGCCCCACTATCATACTGCTGCTGCTGCTGCTGCTGCTGCTGCTGTGTGGCACCACAGCAGCAGCAGCTGCCGAAGGTGCTGTGTATCCTCGACACTATATGATTGCTACTGTTTGGAGCGCTGGCGCATATAGGTAGGAGCTTGTTGAGCTGCTGCTGCCGAAGGTGCCGCTGCTGCAAAAGCTGGGAGTCGTCTCCTTCAATGTAGATGCTGGAAGTCTCTTTGACGATC